TTCACATGACACCATCATGTCAGCAGCTCTAAAAATACAACAATTTTCATATTTTCTTCTTCTTTCTCTTAAGTTTTGAGTCTGGTATCCTCATTCCATACAGCTTTCTAGCAGATGGGATTGTAAACTGGCAGCAAATGGAGTGAAAATGAAGACTTATGTCATTTCTTTAATTTCATTAATCTAGTATTTTTATATTCAATTCAGCAGCATACAGATGAAAATCCTATATCCCCCTGAAAAGAAATCAGAATGCATATATATAATACATACCTTTACTACTTTTTTAATAGAAAATGAAGAATGAAGTCCTCAAAAAAATTAAAATATAAATATCCATTTCCAAACATTTTGCTGCCACAGATAATCCAGACCAATTATTTTTATTTACACGGACATCAGAGGCGATCCACAAACTTTTATTAAAAAAAAAAAAAGAGTTCCCCGAAAGATAATAATATACACTGCTTAACCATACAAAAAGGTAAGGCCATTTAACTCCTGAAACTTGTGGATTACCTGAAATGTATGAGACGATCAATTGCAAATCTCAGGTCAAAAGTATTATATATAAAAAGGATTAAAGATCATTTCAACTTTATTGAATACTGGAAGGTTGAGTACACCTCATCCACAATGTACCAGTCACAATAAAAAATGAACAAAAATGGAATAAGTAAGTAAATAGTCAATGAGGATTATTCCATATAATTATATTGGATAGTATGTTAGTGTCAAGTGTTCTATGCCAGTCTCAAAATTAATCCCCATAACTAAAGAATAATAAGGATAAAATAACAATTTTGATATGCCTTTCTAATCGATCGTCTCACAGTAAATAACAGTAAATAGTAACAATAAATACATAATAATTGCTTCATTTCATATATTTCACGTTTAAACCTTACAGCCTAATAAAGTAACATGAGCTATAATTGCCACTAGCATACATGAACATTAATACATTTATTCTCCCTGTCTCAGATAACAGCATTTCATAACAACACAATACACTGTTGCTTGTTTTGTTTTCCTTACATAGGTAAATCTGAGGCACAATCATACATTTTGGTGAATAATAATTATATATGATTATATGACACATGGAAATAGGCTCTTTCTCATATTTCTCTTTTTGTCCGTCCTCCTTTCCTCACTCTCTCTCTTTTACAGTTTTCGTAGTGGAAGGTAAAGGCACTTTTTGATAACTTGAGTTATTGTCATTTCCCTGTTATCTCCTCTTCTTTCTCAAACATAAAAAAAATAATAATAATGATAATGCCAGGTGACAGGAGCAAAGTGGAGGAAGAAGGAGGAGAAGATGGAGAAGGAGGAGGAGAAGGAGGCGGAGGGTGCTTTAAGTACTTTTCTCTTAAAGTGTTGTTATCACAAATGAAATCCTTTCATGCCCAATGCCTACAATACTGAAGATTCCTTCGAGTCTCCCTTTTAAAATAACACCCATGTGGTGGCAAGTTGACTTAATAATAGTATTGTTTTTTTTAATGTTTTGTTTTATTTTGTACTCATATATATACTCATTCATATATATATACATATATATCAAAGTTTCTTTTCCCCATTACTGAATGCTAGAACACAATTTCAATTCTGAAAGGAATCATATAAAAAAGAAAACTTTCATGAAGAGCCAATTTATAGTTATGTCTAAATTCAAGGAAACAAAAAGTGTTCTTACATACTCAATTTTCTTTTAAATATAAGAAGTTCCACAGAGCTGCAGTATATAGATACAGCTCCTTAAAAGACAGTAAACAAAGTAAAAAAAAAATTCTGTCATAATTACTATGATTACATCTGGCACTTGCCATCAAGCTATGACAGCATGAAGAAATAGCTGCAATACTAAAATCACCAAAGTTCTCCGATCCTTTATGAACAATTAGCTCTATTATAGCAGCTCGCAAATACCCCACCTTCCCTCCCCCTCCTAACATACACCCTAGAGTTAGAAATCCCTGTCATGCATATACTAATATTAACCGTCTAACGCTGGTTATCCAAAGAGAGAACAGTGACAGAAGAATGACCCTCTAGTCCAATACAATGGTGTTTCAAAAAATGTTATTGATCACCCTCTTAGTAACACAGTTAAGTCTCATTGAAAAGGCACTTCATTAGGCAATACAAACAGCGCAATGCGTATACATGTCCGATGATATTTTATTTTCCTGACTAGATGAACCCTTTACGGCAGCATAAACTTAGTCATTTGCTTGCCGTTTGCTTAAAGCGTGAGTAATGGTAGTTTGTATTTCATATGGTATACCTTGTTCCACTATATTCTGTACCTCAGACATTGAAATAAATAGGATCTGTTTCCTAGTATAAAACTGGTTTTCCTTATAATCTCATAATAGTAAAAGGAAAGTGTTCTAGATTCACATGAACTTGTTAGCAAAATGTTTTCCGCAGCAATATCTTCCATCTCACTTTTGAGCCAAAGAAGGAAAGAGAAATTTTTTAATCCCAGATTTGATCTGATCTGAAGAAACAATAATGATAAAGTAAACAAAACAGACAAGGTGGGCAGACATCAATATTAGAAAAGAGATTTTCTGGCAGACCACACAAATGCTACATTACTGTGTGGTCTTTTCTCTCTTCCTTATAAAATCAATGTAAATATCCTAAGATAGACAACAGTTAATCAATGTATGGAAGATAAATGGTTAATTCACAGCTTTAAGCAAAATATATGTGTGTCTCCATCAGAGGGGTTTTAGCTGAGCGATTCTATGGCACAGACGTGACGATGGCAGATTCTGACTAGATGTTACAGAATGTCGAGCCGGGTGTGAAGATGATGATGGGGAAGCTAGGTGTGCAGGGTCATCTGCACATCTTGTCATAGTTGTGGTGGTTATGTGGAATCAAAACACTGAGTGGAAAATATCCATACTGACATTACATATAAACTAATAATAGATAAAAACAAGATAAACACTTCCCTTTCATCGCAACACTGCTTAGAATTCCTAACGGCCACTTCCGTGACATCCTATAGCTTGGCTCCTCAACCATCCTTACAGCTATTTCTGATTGGACTGTAGACTTTGAACAAATACACTATCAAAGCAATAAAAAAAAAGGCCTGACAATTTTTGTTTGCCTCAAGATTTACACAAGATGGCCTATTATCTTCTGATTAACCATGTCAAGACACCTTAATGCTTACGGCTATAATTAATAATATATGGCATTATATGACTAATACAAGTCTGATGTATGAGTACAAAGTATGAATGACTATAAGTAACAAAATATTTCTTAATATGAAAACAATATAACAAGGACAATTTTAATTAAAAGACTACCACTAGCTTTAATAGAAAGAGAAAATAATATATCAGATATGGAATAGAATCTCATTAAACAAATATACACACAAACTGATAAGTCTGCTTACCAGCTTTGTGTAAATTGAATTGGGAGAAAATAGGAAACAATGTTTAATTTTTTCTTGATGAAACAGCAAGTTCATAAATTAAGAAAGCAGAGAACACAACTAGAGACCTGATATAAGACATAATCTGAGAACTGAGTTATGACGGCATAAGGGCCAGTCATCACAGAACGAAAAAAGGGGCCTCTAATCTGTAACGTCATGGGATTTCTCCCTTTTCCTCTCTAGTAACATAATAAAAAAAAAACAAAGTACAGTAGTACAAAAAATTTATATTGTACAATTC